CCTGTTTCCCTCTGTTTGTGAGTCATTTCATTTTCATTACATTCATAGTTGGTACTATGAGCTAGTTAGATTGAATGATAAGCAGTGAGATTACACACTATATTTTCACCAGGTTATCTGTAGTAAGGAGGTTAGCTTTATTGAATAGAGTATTAGCAAACTCCCCTCCAGACCTGCAGAGAAAGCTGGTGTGGAGTGCAGCAGCATTTGAACAAAATTCTTGGACCAAATCAAATGGCATAATGTTAACAACACAAAAAACAAACCTAAACACACATCTGTCTTTAAGCTTTTCTCTCTTAATGTTCTCTTTTTTCTTTAATTTTTTTTTTTGTGCTCCAGACACATGCAAACTTTTTTGAGACACTGTAAGTGAGTCACTTTTTGCTCCTTACTTGAGTGTATTAAACAACGTAATGGTACAGTAATACAGTCTGGTACAATAAACCAGTTGACCCTGGTAGCTGCGGCGCCTTAAAAATGACAGCGATGCCTCTATTAGTCTAGCTAGGTCTGAAATAGAAGATTTTCATTAATAAATATAAAAAGTCACAGTTATGCTCTCTTCTTTCTCTCTCTCTCTCTCTCTCTCTAAGTGTGGGCAGGGATTTCTCCAGACTCCACCTTCAGATCATTTAATCTCAAGGATTCTGCTAATTGGAACATCTGAACATTACTTTCACGTGGGCCTAAAATATAACAAGATCCTGCAGATCATCTATGAAAATCCCAGGATTATTATCATCCCTTCAAATCTTCAGGAGGAACAGACTGTTTCATAGGGAAACTCTGGGATGTACTGGAAGTTGAAGGCTTTGCATGGGAACAGCTGAATGGCTATACTGTCAGTCCAAGGCAGGAGCACTGATTCTATGCAAAGATGATGTGAACCTCAATCTGTCCTCTCTTGACTCACTGGACACTCAAATGCCCAGTAAGGATTACACAGAAGAGGCCATAATTTTACTTTTACTTTAGAACACTGTTGCTGAATGTATCCTGCTTCAGCAATGACCTTGAAGTCTTTGGAGGTTACTTTTCTTGACAGTTAGAGAACTTGGCAGCTCTGCCTGCATCCATTGTGCAAATACGGGGACTAAACTCAGCATCAGGATGCTGTTGTTCCATCAGGAACATTCTGCAGTGCATGCTTCCCAGTGATGATGATCCACAAATTGGAGATATGGCTGCAATAAATTGAAAAATAAAATAAAGAGTAAAATATATAAATTGCTAATTGGTTCTATGGAATGATACTTGTAACGGGTTTTGCAATTTTTAATATTATTATTGCTGGAACCTTATGTGAGGGTGTGAGGTAACCCGGATTTATTTGAAGTCTACAGACCAGGGCAAGAGAGAAACGCTCGCACCAAGGATGCTTCAGAAAAGAGAATTTATTGGCTAAATTTTAAACTACTTTTGGACTACATTCAATGATAAACAATAGAAAATAAAACCAGAAAACAACACAAAACAAAGTGATAGTAATGAAAGACAAAATAGCTCGAGTAAGTTAGAGTGATTCACGGCTAAATGGTATGAGGCAGTGTGGTTTGGGGAGTCGCTTGGCAGAGCCTCTAGACAATTAATCTAAGCCTGGTCGGGAAGAACTATATGGCTGGATGTGCCTATTAAAAGTTCTCTTATTAAATAAACTGGCGTCAGGGCCCTGACTGCAAATTGATGGTTCCAGCTTATGTTGGAGTCGGGGGCTGACTTCAGGCGGGGTTGTCTCAGGACAGACTCGATCGAAGGCTGGAGCTCACGCGGTGGTTCCTCTCCTCGCTGGCCGTGGATGCTGCATCTCCGTGCGTGCACGCGCCTTCCCGTCAGTGATTGGGCGGAGGCGTCTCGTGGCCGTCTGACGGTGGAGCTTGGGCGGCCTTTCGAGGGTCGATCTGTTCACAGATCAGTGCGTGGCTCTGGGTGCGATGCTGGGTCTCCGTGGCGTCCGAACCGCTCCCACTCCGCTGGCGAGGTTCAGGTTGCAATCAGGGTTCTGAGGCTGGTGGTACCAATTTAGCTAACTACCTCTCTTTAGCAGAATCGAAAGTTATGGATATATTCTCACTCGCCAGACAAGAAATATCCACCTTCCTTCTCTGAGGGTGGTTCAAACTTAAGGTGTGTAGGCGAACACGCAAACAAACAAAGGTTTCAGATCTGATAGTTTAGCGTCCTAATACTTCTGACCTGTCTTTCTGACCTAGGCCGGCACAAACTTAGAAACTTGTTGTGAACGCAGGAACTCCCAAATTTTGCGGTGCACTCTGGTTTTGTTCAGCTGGAGGCCCTTCCCTTCAGGGGTGGAACCCAGGTGTTGATAGGTTCTCTCACCTAACGGATAATTAGCTATTCCTAATTCTTGGTCCTGATTGGTGGGGGTTTCTCTGTCCTACCAGGGAACTCCCTCCTTTGTTCCTTCTAGGTTTAAAAGTTTAATTCGATTGAACAAAACAGTTTTCAGATCACTTAGGTTACTAAAATCCATAACCTACAAACCTAACATTTAGGTATCTACGTGCAGTTTCTACCCACATTATCTGAGAACAACTATGGCAAAGGCAGAAACAATTTTATAGATAATCCTTGGGTGTCTTTTCATTGCAGGAACTTTCAACACAGTAAAATCATTACTTCAAATGACAATTAAGTAAATGAGAAGAGTAAAGATATAGAAGGCTAAATAAAATAAGTGACAAGAAAACCTAGGTGCATAGTGGTCTAAAATCACTACTTTAAATGGTTATTTCGGTAACTTCAGACATTTATCCCACACATTCCTAACGTCTGACAAAGAAAGGATGAATACACTTTAAGTAACTGAGTATACAAATACAAGCATCATCACTCGTGAAATTAGATAAAGTTGATAGTCGAGCATGCATATCAATGAGTTTTCCTGGGATCCTTTCAACTTGAGGTCATGTTTCGGCCAGTGTTCGTTTCAGCCAGTGTTCGCTACATACTATAAAGGGACCGAATTTGGTTCCCTAAGGAACCGTTCAAATTCAGGTTGTTTAAAGCAGTAGTTTGTAAACCAGCCCAGATGGTCTGCATTTTTGCCTAGAGATAGTGCAGAAATGTTGTCATCTGAGGATGACTGAGGACTGGTTTGAGAACCACTGCTTTGAAGAATCCGTTCTCTAAATGACGTGCGAGAGGTGAAGAACTTTTTAACAAGGCTATTGTGATCATGAAATTTTAGCTGATTTAGAAATGTAGAAATTGTACAAGTGGCTCAAGAAACAAATGTTTGTCTGGCAGAAAAAATAAATAAAGTGGAACTCAGGCTCTGGAAAGCACTTTAATTTTTTTTCATCATACCCTTCAGGGCTTCCATACTTGGAATGAAAAATCTTGTCAAATGTTCACCTTTGTTCAGCCAGCCTGATTTGGTAAGCTATGTCATATTGTCAGGGTTACTGGTGGAAGAGAAATGGACACATTTGTTAAGTGCAAACCTGGTTTACTTATGAAACATTGAAAAAAAAAATCAGTATTGAAAGTAATAAAACAAAATACAATCAGATTTACCTCAAATTCCTTAGTATCACAATACATAATAAGTAATTAAGATAATAACAAAGATAGCAATTAGATGATACCAGCAAGTTACATTTACAAAGTCACAAAATGCCACAACTAATTAATTAAAGTGTTTCACGTAATCTTGAAACAAATCCAAAGACATCCACAAGTGTTTACACAGCAGCAAGCTATTCTTTGTATTATTCCATTAGATGAAATAAAACGTTTAGAAATAGTTCTAAGCCGAAAAAAAGACAATGAGTACAAATGCAACTTTCAGCTAATATTCTCTCAAAATGAGAACATATGAGCTTTAAGCAGCAATAGCTGACATACTAGGCCAAAATACACCAGCCATAGTGGTTTTCTTGAATGAATGGCCCCAAAACATAACTTAGACCAATCATTACGATATAGGCACAAACACGTCACTTTTAGGTTTTGAAAAAAGTCATTACAATATACTGACTAGGATTAAATCTTAAAGTAACTGAACAAAAAGACTGATGGAAACTAGTGCTGGACAACAGATCATGTGTACCGGTGTGTAATCATAGTGTTTTTCCCAGTTTTAGTTATATTTTTGGTGGATGAGCATTATAGCCATGATGATGACCGTAACATAGTGCTGTCTCTGTTGCCAAGCAGTGTCGTGTATTATTTTTACCTTTTATTAATTGCAAACTACTTATGGTGTTCAGGACCTGACTTTTTTAAAAAGTTCAAGTGAGTATATGTCACAGGAGAAGGTCTTGGCCAATTTGCCATGAATTATTGCAAAACTTATGTTGCTATGAGTGCTATAAGTGTTATGAAACTTTGTTATGAAAAAATGTTAGTACCTTTATCAATTATAAATAGCATATTATCTTCAAATTATTTAGTTTGGATAAAAATATGCGATTTCTAAACCATCCACATTCATACAGGCATGGTGTACATCAACAACACACAGACATACACAGATACAAATAATAAAAATATTAAATCAAATAATAGTATCTTTACTGAAGTCCATGCTGAAAGCAATATGGAGAACTTCCATGATCAGCAGCTGTGATGCCCATTTCTAGGCCCAGTGTGAGACCTGCTTGAGTTTAAACATGGTTTAATCTGAGATTAACACATGCTCTAACATCAGTCCCAATACAGGAAACAAACTTACAGCTGTGACTGTGATAAATAGCTTATAAAATCAACAGCATAACTGTTTTTGTTGTTTAACATGTTGCTTTTTGTTGAGAAAAGTCAAGAAAACTATGAACTGTGACAAACACTGAAAAATAATTAAATAAAGGACATTAAAACACATCTGAATCTGCCACTTTATCTGAAGTTAATAGCAACATTTTATTTCAAATCAGTTTCTTTAAATACTACTTGTATGCATACATACTGTAATATGTAGCACACAGATGTAGACTAGTACTCAAAAATATAGAATAAATATTAAAACTACAAGTACGCTTTTTAAACCACTTTATTTATATGACAATATTACAGAAAAAAGTACTGTATGAAAAAATGAACATAGTTACAAAAGTAAAACCACAAGGAGGTACATAAAAAAAACATGTATGTGTTCTTAAAAACTTATTAAAATCAGTACACTGCAACAGATAGTGCTAAAAAGAAATGCTGGAAAGAGAGACTTAATATTAATGCTTTTCTAGCAATAAGTTTAATGATTTCATGCTTGTTCAGCTTTTGCTTAAAAGCAGATCTGCTTAACTTCTGTTCTGTATATTCACCAACTTTCTACTTGTATCATCTTCTTCCTATGTTTATCATGACCAGATGAATAGTGGAGTGCAGTTTCATGTGGATGATTTCTGTTAAGATAAGAGTGATGTGAAAGTACTGACTTCAGGTCAGTGAATGGTAAAGAGTCCATACTGTAAATGAGAGTGCTGGTATATAATCTTGGATGATCTGGAGTTCAGCTCCAATGGACTTTACTTCACTTTACTTGCAATAAAATACATGATTTCCATTATTTCCAACATGTTTCAAATGTACTTACACTTCTCATTTGCAGTGTAGAAACTTTCCCACATTCCTATCCAATCTACCCACACTGCCCCTTTCAGAAACTATTCTATGCTTTCAGGTTTTTATTTCTATTGTATGTTTTTATTGTCAACCTAGACACAGAGACAGTCCACCCTAAATTTATGAGTAACATGCATAGCAAATAAAGCATACATATATCATGAGGACACATAGTGTTACTAGTGTGACTAGCTATATGCATTTCCAGGGCAATTTCTGGACACGCATATCACAGATAAAAGTATTGGTTACAAAACCACTCAAAGCAGTGGCCGCTGATCCTCTGCAGGTGGACCATGTGCCTTTCTACCAGGATCATTGAAGGTTCTGTGCATCACAGTAGTTTTATCAGAGCTTCTGAATCCTGAAAAACAATATGTTTATTCACTTGTTAAAGTATATATACAGGGCAGTTCATTCTCTGAGAGTCTGAAATAAAGAAAAGTGTCCTCAGAGCTCTGCTCTGCTCTGTGACTCTGTAGGATCCTCCAAAAAATCCTTACATACACTGTGATACTCTTACAGTGTTTCTCAAAGCCACTACAGACGTTTACCAATGATAAACAATGAATCACCATTAAAAACCTAAACTGAGTAAAGAGGATTCAGAAACATTACCAGAGTGAGAAGCATCAGTGCTCGTTGTAATGTTTTCAGTACTGCTGCTGTCCTCTGAAACAGTCAATAAGGACAAATCACTGCTGAGTTACAGTGCACAGATGTTCAATAATTACAAAAATTACTTATCTTAAATTATTTAGTTTAGAATATTATTACCTGAGTCAGAAATGGAGTCAGAACGACCAGCTTTAGACCCTAGAGATAAATAAAATATGCATTAAAATAGAGGAAGAAGACCACAGAAAATAATAAAAGCTCAATTTTATCGAACACAATAGTCACCAATCATTCAGTCAGTTATGCTGAAATAGATGATAATGGGAGTCTGAGTATCTCATAATGAGTTTGCCTGTGATTACACTTCTCCACCACTGCATACACAAGTGCAACATGTACTAGATCTTGTAGAACTAAAACATCAGTTCTAACCATACAAACATTCTCATACACAAGAAACAAATTTGCACACGTGAGTTTAACACACAAAACTGTCCGTATGCTCCTTTGATAAATGAGACCCCTGGTTTCTATCTCAGTAACAACAAAGCAACTTCTAGTGTTTCCAATTTGTAGTCTAATCAGCGCTGAGGGAACAATTAAAGTCAGCCAGATCACACTGTGCTTTCAGGAATGCACTTCTAAAGAAAACGTTTTACACAGAATTTGTGCAGATCTGTGTTAAAATCTGCTGTGTCACTTTTTACTGTAAACATCTGGCTTAATATAGTCAATTTTTTTTTTCATTGGACGTACATGCTAGCGTTGATTTCCTGCACTTTTACTAAGATGTAAAAATGTTTTACAAAGTTAGACGAGTAGCAAAGAATTGCCATTTTGTGCTCATGTCAGGTTGGAATAAAAATTATGAAATATGTATGTACTAGGGCTAATCATAAAATACTATTTTATAATTCTTTTGTAACAATGATCATTTCAATTATTTATTTATTTAATTGATTAATTTACATTAATAATTAACTCTTATAGCCAGGGAATAGCTGAGATTTATTTTTGGAGCATTTTGTTTTTGTTCAGCAAGAACACAGATCAGCGCAACAAAATTATTTTCAGCTTTGAAATAAAAAAAACATTTTGTGAATGCTTGCTGTGTTATGTCATTATTCATTCAAAGGCAATAAAAACATGAACCAATTGGTTTTAGTTTTTAGTAAAAGTGTTTTAAACTGGTATTTCTTAATACTATGGGTTTATTTTACACTCATCGTGTCTTCAGAGTGTTTTTTTTCCAAATAATGATTTGACCTTTTTCTTTCCCCAAACTATTGTGACACTTTTGGCTCTGCAGTTGCTGCTTTACTGAAGCCTTACTCATTTGCATTGTGGCTTCTGTCACAGAAATGTCAGTCATGATTTGATGTCACAGAGCTAAAAGGAAGAGCTGATCAAGAGTCAGAATCATACAGTTCCCAATGGACCAGGACGCCCTCAGGGAAATTAATCAAGGAATTACAATACCTGACCAATTCTAAAGGTACTCTGCACAGTTCAGCTTAAACCCGCAAACCAACATTTCCAGACAGAAAGTCAAAATAATACTGTCTCAATTTTTATTAATAATGGTAAAATAATATCTTTGAAAAATATCTGTCTAAATAATGATGTATTATGTCAAATTCTCACAAAATTTCTCAAAAAGTAATAACTTTTTTTTTTAGTTATTAGTCATTATTTTGACCTACTAAATCAAAATGTTGAAGTCATTATTCCAAACTAATTAGTTACAATGTGAACCAAACTACACACTTCTATATTTCACATACTACACTAGTAAATGCTCTTCTAATGGTAGCACATTTTTTACAGTGTTTACTACTGTATTAAGCATTTTGGGATGCAGGCTTTTTCTCCTACATACTGTTAATGGACATCCATACAAAAAGTATGATATGTTAATAATGAAAATCTAGACTGTAGTGTCCAGCAACACAGAAATATATTTATTTTGGCTGGAGGAGTACGTCATCTGGGTATCTTTGATCATTGGTGTAGTGGAGGAATTCATGTTGGTCCCATTCTATATATTATCTAACACATTTGGGCACAATCAGTACGCAAACAGTAGCGGGCTATTCTGAACACATCAAGTGTTTTACTGAAGGCCTAATGAAAATATGACACTGTTTTTCTATCAATGCTTACCAGTAGTCGTCTGCACAGTTGCTGGTTTGCTCCGTGCACCATCTTTTTCTGCAACCAGAGTGATGATGTACAAACGACAAGGGTCCAGATGATCAATTTCAGCAGCATCTTCCCCAGATGTCACCTGGATCTCCCGACTTAAACTTGATCCATTTGTCTGACTCGGTGAAACCAAGAGGATGTATCTGTCAATCTCCCCCAGTGATTTCTCCCACTGGACCTTAACAGACGTTGCTTTGATCTCCACAACTTTGAGGTTTTTGGGGCTGGAGATCACTGAGAAAGAAATACATGTATATGCAGTTACAGCTGCTGTTGAGAGGTTGGAGAGAGAGGAAAGTGTCTGATAGGAAAAGAGAACAGGTGCATTCATATTGTACAGCCTTGATTTTTAGCTTCATGTATCCAGCTAAAAAAGTGAAACACTGGCAGTAATAATATATGAGTTAGTAATGTATATATAAGATAGTAATGTCAGGATTGATTGTCAATAAAAATTCAAATCTTTGTTATAATAAGTGGAAATCACACATAGATGAATGTGTGATGAACATGTGGACAGCTGCACAGGGATGAAAACACAATCGGTTCACTCATTATTAACGTATCACTAAAATATGATTCTAAAATTGATGATATGATTTTAAAAATTCTAAGTTTAACAATTAGCATAATTAGCAGATGTCATGTTTTCCCCCCTCCCTGCTTGGACTCTCTCCATCTCACTACTCACACCTGCATCTGATTCTGCACTCATTAAGACTACAACTTGTACTCCTTTGTTTCCTCTGAGTTTGCAAAGTCTCTGTGTTTTTAAACTGAGTTTAACTGAGCTCTGAGCTTGTTTATTGTGTTTGTTTGTCCATGGTTTTGACCCCTGCTACTTTCTCTGGTTTTCTGATTATGGATCCGCATCTTCTCTTGCCTGCCTGTGTGTTGTCCCCTGCCTGCTGTGACAATGAGTACTGGAATGCCCCTAATAAAGTTAATTTGCACTTGCAACCTGCCTCAGCTCTTACATTACAGCAGACATTGCTGATCAAAGCTGCAATGAGTGGCTTCCTTTGTTGCCGAGTGGGGCGATGGGGGCACAGTGGATGCAGTGTCCCCTACTGCAGAGGAGGGTCCCACAGTACCGCCTACTGCTCTGAAGATCACCAAGGAGACAGGGCAGGCATCTAAGGATTAGTTTTATTTAGCTAGCTAGGTGAATGTTCCAGCATGGATAGGTGGCTCATTAAAAAAACAAGCACCCTCATCCCCAGAGAATACTGCCTCCACTGTCGAGCAGAGTATTACTGCCTCGGTGTCAAGGGCAGCAAACATCCGTCCCACACAAAATCCAGACACACCATCCTCCAGCTGTGCCTTGTCCACTCCTGACTTAAATATGGATAGCCCATCCTAGCCAATTTTAATAGTTATCCCAAGCACCCATTTGGACAAACTGTGAGAAGTCTCACGTGATGCTTGCTTTTGCTTTGCCTGTCGCAATTTGGTGTTTCCAATTCTGAATGAGAGGACATATTCACGAAACATGGACACATTATTTGGAAGAGAGCGCTTGAATCAGACGGTGGTTTCCTTAAACATGCCTCTAGCATTCCTCACATTAGAGCGATGCCTGCATGGCAACAATACCAGCATCGCTCTGAGATGGGTCAAAGTATTGTGCAACTACTGGGTCAAACCCAGACAGAAAATAACAGGTACTATGTTAAAAGCATAAGTGAAGTCATTCGGTTTCTCACTGTAAATGAGCTAGCTCTCTGTGGGCACTGTCAGGGGGATGGGGATGAGGCAGGTCTTTTAATTAGGGTATTTGATTACACCATTCAAAAAGATCCCAAACTTTCACCAAAATGGTTTTAAAAGAAATGAGGGCCAAATATGAGGAAGCTGACTCTCCTGGACTTTGCATTTAAAGAGATGGAACCAGGGACTGCTGTAAGATTTAGAACGTATCAAAAATAATTTGTCCACAACTCCATCCCTGAAGAACATTTAATTGGCTTGACTCACTTGAGTCAGCTTGATGCTGAATATGTGTGCAAAACAAATTCTGTCTTATCTTTCTGACCTGGGATACAATGCTGACAATTTAGTGTCTCAGTGTTATGATGGTGCATCAGTGATGTCTGGGGTGAGGGGTGGTGTGCAGACTTTGCTGTAGCAAAAAGTAGGCAAGGACATTCCATATGTGCACTGCTACAACCACCAGATCCACTTGGCAGTGATACATGTGATGCAATCAGAGCCTCTTGCCTAAAAAGTCTTTGAATGGTCCAGTTCATTGAACACATTCTGTCACAGACATCATGTTGCACATAGGCTACCAGAGATTTGCTGGACCAGCCATCATGATGTCAACAAGTCTGTTGTTGACAATGAGGACAGTATCATGAGATCATGAGTTTTTTTGTCAGAGATAGCAGGGGAGGATAGTGGTCCTTTTGATCTCAGGACAGAGGCATGTGGTCTTTTGGCAAAGTTCTCCTCCATGTGCTTGGTGTGCTGAAGCCAGCCAATTCAATTCTGCAGTCGCAAACAGTAGATCTGTTCACTGCAGGGGTGGTAGTGACTGCTTCACTGGAGACACTGAAGGCGATGAGAAGTGACTCATTCCTGGAGGAGCATTTCTCTCAATGTGGAAATACCAATTCTACCAAGAGGAGAAGGACAGTGAACTCACAGCTTGACAATAGTGTTGCCTTGTGAACTATTGGGCACGGTGACTCTGATGGCCGAACTAGCACTCCAAATCTGTCTTTTAAAAGAGCTATGTTTAGAATTCTTGATAGAGCTATTATTGAGATGGAGATAAGATTCTCTCAAATCAGCATCTTTTCTTGACCACTCTCTCTTGAAGCCGCTTCAGGTGCTTGCAGGCATAGAGCGAAATGGTATGAGCCTGCAAAATGAAATTGCTGCAGCGAAAGCAATGTTGGTCAATAAACTGTCCACTGATGCAGACCTTACTGCAGTATGCAAATGCATTCAGGAATACAAAGAGGCCTTCACCATGTTGAATAGGCTGATGATGCCTTGAGGGCGTGTGAGAGGGTAGGTCCTGCCCCCATGCACTTTGAGGGTTGCCATTCCAAAAACAGGCTCCTGACCATCTGACAAGTTGCCACCTGCTGCTTCTCAACCTGCTTCCATTGCTTTGTAACGTCCTCAATGTGTTGGCATCATGCGCTATCCCGGGCACAAGGAAGACGCTGGAGGCAGGTATCAGGGTCGCAGCAGCCATATTTTTTAATTTCAAGCTCAAACACTCACAAAGAAAACAAAACCACAATCAAAGCTGGTCACTTTTCAGTGGCATCGAACTAGATTTTTCAGTCCTCAGTCTCCTGAGTTTTTCAGCTTTTCACTCTTGTCATCGTCCTTTCTGTTGCTCGTCCCTCTCCCTCTCTGTTCCCTCTCAGCTCTTTTGAGTAGCTGAGAGAGAACTCAAGCTCATTGCTCCACCTCCTCGTTACCGCCCTTGCTCATAGCTGTCATAGCTGGTGATACGTGACGTGGTGTAATGCAGTTCTTGTGAGAAGTATTGTGCCCCCTTCTCCAAAGTTACATTGCTACAGCAGGCTGGAATGCCATTACCATTACCATTCTTACTAAGTCAGTGTACCATCAAAATTATTATGAAGCTGTTATTTTAGGGTAAAATGATTACATACTGTTGCATTCATTTATCATGAAATAACGGGGGAATAGGCCATCCCTAGCCATGAAACTGCTAGTCAGTCAACTGTCCAATTACTTTTCAGCCTGTGAAAAAGGTTTAAATCCTAAATGGTTACTGAAATATTTATGTTAAACCTCTTAAAATAAAGCTGAAAGTCTACATTTCAATCACATCTTGATTGCTTCATTTCAAATCCACTGTGGTTGTGTACAGAGGCAAAAGTACAAAAACAATGTCACTGCCCAAATACCTATGGACCTGATTGTATGAGTATGCTGACAGTGAGATAAAAGATGTAAAAGCACAAATAACATATGCAGTATTATCTCTACATGTAATCTTCTGTAAAACATATCTTTTCTAACTTCAGGATGCAGCAGCTTACATAAAATACAGTAAACATTTGTAATTATGTAACTCCACTTACCAATGATCCCTTTCCTTTTGATGAAAAAGATGACCACAACCACCACAGTCCCTGTTACCAGAACTCCTACAACGAAACCCACAATGATCCCTGTCCATGTACAGTCCTTGCAGCTTCCATCTTCAAAAAAATAAATAAAAAAATAAAGCAAGCCCATACATCAACCATTACATCAAACATTATATTTTTGTCTGTACTTCAGTTTAACTGGTAACAAGATCTGCCCTCTGGACAAATGTTTGCATCCCTTCTTGGAAAATAATGCTTTTTCTAGGCTACATGGGTGACTTTTCAATGCACATTAGACTAGTTATACAAAACTGATATGCAAGAAAAATCTAAGAGAAGCACGCATTGCTTAGACATTTCTGATTGAGTAAATATATAGATCATATTTAGATCAATCAGGAAGATAGCATCTACAATAAACAACCATACACTCACAGAGCAAAGCGAGAGCCTGACCATTCAGAAACATTCTGCTGCATCCTGGTCAATGTTTGACCCTCTACAACAGTATCTTCGTGTTCTCTGTCTTCGCTTCATATGGTCTAAAACCCATACACCAACATGTGGCGGCACTTTGCTACTGACTCTGAGCACTGTTCAGTTTCTCAGCGTCCCACTCAGCATTTTGCCATTACTACCTTAAATTAAAGCCATATTGAGACCACAGTAGATCACATGTGGCTTGAAATTTACACAGAGAAAGGCAGTCAGTCTTTTGGATAAACAGAAATGTGATGCTATATAGTCTCAGAATGCAGTGGTCCACTGCAGCTGTTTTTTAACTATACACAGTAGCACAATGACGACCCCACCCCCGCAAGTTCTGCCTAGTCATACTCCCCCCCCCCAAAATACACAAACCCCCGGTGAGTGGACAGATGAAAGTCTTCCCATTTAAAAATAGAATAATGCCCAGACAACTACTCTTTCTTCAACAGTTGAGAAGATTCTTGGATAAACCAAGCTAAATTTGAGCGTTCTTCCCTACCCGTCTCATCTGTGAAAGAAGTATATAAATTTGAGAAAACAGGTATCCATTGAGGGATGTAGTTCTCTCGGTAGATGGTTCTGTAATATGAGGGAGAAGTACCCATGGAGTCTTGCTTTGAAAATACTAAAATGTTATAAAAACATCAATCTCACAAGTTGTACTTAAGTTAGGACATTTTATCTAGTTAAGATGGTTCTACAATACAGTTGTCTACTCTCTCAAATCCTAATCGAGGTAACTAAACAGATTTCAGGAGTCAGAGAGAGTCCGGATGTTTCTGTAATACCTCCATTAACTGGAACAATAAATAACAACCATGTAAAACAGAGATATAATTACCCCATTGTTTAATTATCGGTTTTTTGAGGGTGACGTGAGTCACATAACAGTCATATTCTGCTGTATCGTCCTCCTGGATCTCCACACTCTTCCTCAGCTGGTAGGTTCCATCATCATTGGGTCTGACTCCTGAAGATGTTAGTAGGTGTTCAGGAAGTGAAGTGCGGAACTTCCTCACACTCACCACCACGTCTTTGGGGTAGAAGCCCGTGGCCAGGCAGGTCAGGGTCAGCTTTCCTGAGTTAGTTGTAGATTTCTTCGCAAACACATGAACAGGCGGTGGAGCTACAGAGAAAACAAAAGCAAATACACATTTTCATTTCAACATAAGTTTTTGTCAAAAAGTCATCTGGAATCAGTTCTCACTGCAGCTAACAATGTGAAAGTATGAGTGCAGACACATGCTTCCTCTTGTAGCCAATCAAAATATCTTTTCCAACTACCACTTAGAGAACTGCTTAAAACACCTGCACGCATTTGGAAAAGTGCACCAACTGCTGAATTCTTTCCAAGTGGTTTAAAAGGGAGCAGTCAAATTGGGGCTGTGAAATGCGAGAGCCTTGATAAACTGCAGTGTTGAACATCCGCAAATGTTTCTCAGTACATTTAACAGTCTTTTTGTTAAAGTCCAGGTTATTGATAGTCAACCATTTTCACCTTTTTACCACAGTCTTTCAGTGGCATGTGACTATTTCCCTTAGCAAAGTAGCAGTAAAATACTGACTTGTGAGTTCTGCATTGCACTGCAGGTTAGTGAGGCTGTGACCATGTTTATGCAGTGCAGACATAGCTACACCCTCAAACGGTGCAAAGGAACTCTGGGAGATAAAGAAATAATACATTATAGGTTCTGGAACAAAACAGTTCAATATTTCAGCATAAGCCTGCAAAATATCTGTCTGTTTTCAGAAGGTTTGTTTAAAGGGCTGGACAACTAATCAACATTAGAATTGGAATTATGTATATATAAAAAATAATATATGATTTTAAAATTTCGTTATGCATGTAAATTCATCAAATAAGAATTGAATAATCGGCTGAAATATGGCCTAGAAGCGTGAAGAGCTGCAACACTGAAGTCTTTGGCAATGTAGTGAGTTCTGTTCATCAGAAAATAAATTTGCACCACAGGAAAAAATGTATCGCTTTGTTTAAGCCTGTCCATAATTTTGAGCTACAGTAAAAAATAAGCATAGCTAAAAATGAATAATTATAATAATAAATATAGCCACAAGTGGCAATTTTGCAGATTCAAGCTCAAATCAACACAATGAGGTTTTATACAGATTGGGCCAGTGAGGCCTAACAAGGCCTAATGGCCATATTTACAGTAAGAGGATGAAAAAATATGTATCCTTTATTTTAAGAAAACGCTCCCAGACTTTACTTTTTTTAACAACAGCTATGGTTCTTGAGCTAGCTATAAGAAGAAGCTAGCTTGGTATTCCCAGCGTGGACTTGGCAGGGGCTACGAAAAGGCTGAAAAAAAATGTTGCTGGAGGGAGAGAGAAGAGAAAAAGAGAAATTGACAGAGCAAAAGTAAATCACAGACTGGCTTTTACTTGCTGGCCAGAGCTAAAAGAGAAAAGAGATAAAAGGATGTGAGTCTTACAACGGAAAAACAACAAAAATTTGACAGCAGAAAGTTCATCCCTGCCAGAATTGTTTTTCTCAATGCAAAAATCATTTAACCACAATCCTGGCTAGCTTGCAAACAAATAAATTTGTCTTATGCCAAAAATTTTGGTCAGCCTGTCAATCCCATGAGCAGCAAGCTTCGAAAGTCTGCAGCCTCCTGTAATAAATCCTATAATATTACTGTACTTTGGAAATTAACATGGTTCTTTCTCTTCTGATGTTGTTTTTGCCGAAACTCAGAAATCTAGTAAATAACCCAGTCGAAAAGAATAAAACAAATTCAACTACCATTTACCTCAAGTAACTAGCTCAAATAAAAAAATAAAGACTTAGCAAAATGTTCTGGGACTCACAGTGTTTTCTCAGTGATTCTTTTCCGTACTCCATGAATTTGGTGAGCCAGTCCACACATTCTTTCTCCAGGTAACCCTTGGTGTACTGGTTCAGGATGGGCACATCATCCCATTTCCTTTTGGTTGGCAGAGCTTCTGGAACTGGAGCGATCCACCGCATGTTGTCATCATCAAAGGAGAGGAACTCTGACCCATCGTAGCTGTACTCATCAATGCCTCTCAGAAATCTGACACTTCCATCTGCTTCATCGATCTCACAGCCATGTCTCCACTGAAGAACGTGAAGGTCTGGAATTGAGTTAATGTAACAAGACAGTGAAGATAAAGACATTAGCTGCTCAAAACCAGAGGAATCACACAGCGGATGGAAACTTGTGATGTTTTTAAAGAAGAATAAGTGATAAATCACTGACCGGTCTGATTGTGTCTCATTCGCTGCATCAGGATGTCCACGTTGACCTTGAACCACTGCTCTTTGCTCTTGCGAGACTGGGTGCCTTTGTCCCAGTAATCTGGCTGCATCTTCTCCTTCAACCAGTCCTGCTTAGGAATCTTAACCTGTTCCTTACTGTTGTAGTAGTCGATCTCCCGGTCATCGAGCAGACCCAGTGCTGTGAACTCATAGATCCCTGGTAGAGCGACATCTTTGGAGAGAGCGGTGTAAATGTAGTACAGAGAGTGTTGATCTGGAGAAAGAAAAGAAGAGAAAAAGATCACAGCTACTCAGCATGGGCTTCACTGATAAAACCATTAACCATTTTTGACATATTTTAAGAAACTCCATGTTAATCAGAACTGATATGTATGTAATATGTATATGTAACCAATATGTCTGTTTTGTCACCGATACTGATTTTTGGACCTAAAATTGCTGATAGCCAATCTTATTGGCTGACATCCAAATAAAATTTCATGGTTTTAGTTCAATAGTGATTTACTAAATTTATAAATTCAAACAAAATCTCACAAAATTTAATAAATTATATATTAGTAGTTACACAACTAAACAGAATTTTTTGGGGATCGCAGATAAATACATAATAGTAAAAGTATGATATGTAAGTTATGGGGAATTAAACATTGCAATAATTAAGGATAGCAGGTAGGTAGATAATTGTTTAAAAGATACTGCAGGACCTTGTTAAATTACAATTTACACTATAACAACATTTCTTTTATTTATAAATTCAGCAGCACAAAAGAACATTCTGCAGCAGGCAGGGGAGTCTATCATAAACGAAAAAAATGTTTTTTTGCTCAAAAGAGCATCACATCCCTGCATGTAGTTTTCCTATATAACATTATAGGGAAATCAGTGGTGCTTTATCAGCGCAATTTCTGCTGATACCAATAAATCTGTAAAACCTTAATATTGGCCAATATTATTAGATGACCAACATATCGGTCAAACTCTATTACTGTAATAATGTGTAATATTATGTGTAATAAGCACATATTTAAAACTGAATTTGGATTTCTATAGTGGTGTTAAAAAAACACTATACTATTTAATTTATTGAAATATGTGAAATCAAGTCAAAGTTTATTTATGTAGCGCTTTTTACAACAGACACAGTCACAAAGCAGCTTTACAGAAAAATCTGGGTCCGAGCCCCCATGAGCATTGCCAATGACAGTGGCAAGGAAAAACACTGAGAGGAACCAAGACTCAAAAGGGGAACCCATCGTCATCTGGACCACACTGAATAGCAACACTAACACAAGAGCAAAATGAGCAGAAAATAAGGTTTTAACATTAGTATATAATATATTAAAATACAGAAAAGGGAAAAAAGCAGGTTAAGCAATATCTTTAATTAAATAGTTTGTGAGGCAAGTGAAGCAATGTCTGTGATTAAATAGTTCGAGCCTCTGCTGCAGCATTATCATCAGGAGGGTCAGTGTTGGTAGTTGGGGGGGCAAGTGAGGTTTGCACAGCGTTGTACAGCAGGAGCTCCATGATAATCAGACAGGTCCAGAAAGCAGGCAAGCTGTGGGCACCCGATCAAGGCAGATGAAGCAAGACCCACAGGATGGTTCAAGCAGCTGTTCAACTCGGCAGAGAAACACATGGATAGTTAGTTCTGTTAGACTGATCACAGATTACAGTGTAACAGAGCAGCAGAGACTCCGGCAGGTCTAGTTATTACAGCCTAACTAAGAGGGAGAAACCAGAAATGTAACAGAGACATGAGGCTCCCTGAGATGTTGACGGCTCTCCACTCCACTGTCAACAAACCTGAGTGAGTGAGTGAGTGAACGCGTGAGCAGTGGGACGACAGCACCAACACTCCCAGTTTACCATAATACTCTATGACCATGAACCCCCAGATCTGCATCTTTTATCTAACAGGGAAAACTAATTTCCAAAGGCTCCACTAAACAAGTAAGTTTTTAGCCTAGACTTAAAGACTGAGGCTGTGTCTGAGTCCCAAACACTGACTGGAAGATTATTCCAAAGCTGGGGGGCTTTGTATGAGAAAGCTCTCCCCCCTGACGTAACTTTATTAATTCTAGGTACTAATAGTGAGCAGCACCTTGTGATCTAAGTAGGCGTGATGGTTCATAGTGAGAGAGAAGTTCACTCAGGTACAGAGGGGCGAGTCTGTTTAGAGCTTTATAAGTCAGTAAGAGAATTTTATAATCAATCGGAAATTTAACTGGTAACCAGTGTAAGGTTGATAAAACTGGGCTGATATGGTCAAACTTTCTGGTTCTAGTAAGAACTCTGACTGCAGCGTTCTGGACCAACTGAAGCTTGTTAAGGCTTTTGCTGGGATATCCAGACAGCAGGGCATTACAGTAATCTAGCCTTGAAGTAATAAATGCATGAGCTAACTTTTCTGCATCCTGTAGAGAAAATGCATTTCTCAATTTAGCAATATTGCGGAGATGCAGGAAAGCTAAAAGCTATATTTTAAAAAGTAATTAAATGTCTGTATTTACAAGGTTTCATATATGCTAGCATGAACACTTAAAAACAATGCATTTTAACAATGTATTAATGTAACGGTTTCACAGAATTCAGACGCTCGCGGATAAAGAAAGAGAAGTAAGCTTTACTGTTGAAGTCAGAATCCAAAGTCGTCGTCAAAAAACAGACAAAAAGGTCAAAACACATAGAACAGATATCCAGGGCAATCAATCCAAAGGGCAAATCCAAAACACAGAGTCAAAAAGAACGGGTAATACAGGTCATGCACAAAATCAGGATCACAGATAGAACAGTAGCTCAGTAGTTTACAAAATGAAACAATACCTCGCAAATAACTAACGCTAAAGCCCAGGCTTATAAGCTAAACTGAGGAAGTCACATGATCAAAACACACAGGTGTAACACATCAGAATTCGAGCAATCGAGAACGCTGATAGGAGCGTGTGGGGAGATCAGCAGTCAGTTGGGGTTTGTAGGAAGCGTCAAAGTCATGTGATCTCCCAGAGGATTCTGGGAGATAGAGTCTGTTTCTTCCACTTCGCTCATGACATTCGTGACAATTAAATACTGGTTAAATATAAAATATGAATGTACTACTAATACAAGACCTCATTAGGCTTTGGTTTAATTTAGTTTTACGCAGAAAAAGTAAGAAGTTTCTTATGCTGAACAACTTTCTTTTTGTTTGGACATACTCACACATAATGTACACAAAGAATACACCGCTGTATACTGCTACCAAAAAGCCTAAGACTTTGACTAAATATGCAATATAAGACATATGTATTGCAAGAAAGTGAACTGAAAGCAAAACTGTTGCCGCTGTAAGGACTTCCATGTCTTATTCCAGGCTTATAAATGTCACACCAGATAGAGAACCAGTCTCCCACTGTAAGGAAAACCTGGTTTTAGTCTGGCCTGAGCTGATTTAATACTTATAAATGAACTGGCAACATGGCACATTGAGCAGTACTGCATGTAGGAAAATTAATAGGGAGCTAAAATTTCAAGTGGATATTAAAGGCCTTATTCACGTCAGGCCAGAGAAATGACATATTCTTGATAGAGAAACAAACCTCCCACTTAAAGAAAAACCTGGTTTTAGTCTGGCCTAAACTGATTTAATACTTGTAAAAATAACATTTTCTTCTGATGATTTCTAATTTGACTGACACTTGGTAAATACAACATCAGCTTTTAATCAATTTACCTGTGTGCACAGTTACTCAATATGCCACACTGACAGCTAGTTAGATAGTCAGTTAGATAACTGAAAGCTCATTATCATGAATGCCTTCAAAATCTCTCTAGCATTTAAGCTTTTTATTAATCTATATGCAATATTAAAGCAATAAGCCATGAGAGGCAGTGGGTTACTGTGATTTTATGACAGGGAAGGGAGTTTTAGGACACCCTTCCCTGTGATAAAATTACAGAAACTCACTGCCTTGAGTGGCTTATTGCCTTAAAAAACCAACATAAAATATAAAATATATTTAAATGCACAATATTTTAGATAATTATTGTTTAAGTTGTTATCAATAATAACCAACATAAACAAGTATTCCACCAAGAAATGTAGTACCTTTAGAGTACGGTATCATTGCTAAACAACCATTGACCACTGAATGAGGAGAAGAACATTCGGTCGCCAATCACTGTAAACTGCAGACATTTCATGATTTTTTACAACTTTTTCCATATAACAGTGAACATATGACAACACAACACTGTTTAATGCATATACTTTCAGTTAATAAGCACTTTTTGGTCACTAAATCACCACCGTGAGTCTTCTGCCGGTCTGATGACGCCACTTTTCTCACACTGGGGCTGAATCTCAAACGGCTCCCTGCTCCCTACATAGTGCACTACGTAGGAGTTTAAGTACTGACTCCTGCAGCCCAACAATTCAAAATATCACTAAAAATGGTCATTTGGGATTCAGACACATTCATACACGACAAGCAGTCACTATTAGACAGCAGAAGCTAGAATTTCTAAACTTAATGTTAAACAGCTCACTATTTAGTTAGGGAGTAAGGAGCCGTTTGGGACTCAGCCTGGGTTTGATGCTACTTCTGAGTAAAACACGGATATTTAAAGCATGTAAGACATTCAGGTGACATCCTTTAGTCTTTTATCCGCCCGTTTTACAGTGAATCATACTTTAGTACTTTAAATCAAGCCTGTGACATTAATATTGGAGTTGTTTGCTATGTTTTAGCCTGTTAGCTAGCTGACCAGCCTAGTTGTAGTTAAGAAAATACGTTTTCAGCCCCTCAGTTTAAACAAAAATGGGTTCTTACTACACTCGGAGCTCTGTGTGATCAGCGTTAGAGTCAAAGATTATTCATTAACAGCAGAAGGGTTTTCGGGCTGTGGCGCAGTGATACAGAGTTTAATAAAGTGTCAGGGTCCAGCTGTATAGAGCTGTATGGAGCAGTCAGTTATAATGAACTCCATTTTTGGAAACTCTCACAAATACAGCTCTGCTTCATCAAACACATTTTCATAGATTTTGTTGTGATTTTTATTGAAAACAACCTGCCAAAGTAAAATAACGCTTATATTTCACTCATTTTCACTGTCCTTGCTCGTGGTCTACACAGCCCACTGACGGACAAAATCCGAACTATATACAAACAATACACTTATCACACAATACTACAATTATCACACCAAATCAGGACTGTAAAGTTTTTTCTCTAATCAGTCTGAACCTGCTTTCATTCATCTGTGTGGTCAACT